GACCCAGGATATGGGGAGAGGGAGCTCAGAGCACCCCAGGGACCCAGGATGTGGGGAGGCTCTGGGGTCAGCCTTACGTGTGCTCAAGCTGTGGACGGTGCAGTTCTCGTTGCCGGCGCTCGGCTTCCCGGTGTTGGGGCACAGCATGGGCTGAGGGCAGAGAGGGTCAGAGCCCACCCTGGCACCCCCATCCCTGCAGAGCCCCCCCAGACCCACCTTGGTGTCCTCGGCCACGCGGTCGGCGTCCTGGGGCCAGCTCTCCAGCTCCACCAGGTCCCTCGGCCGTGCTGGTGCCACGCCTCTCTGCCAGGGGCAGGAGCCAGATCAGGGCACCCACTGCCACCACTGGGGACAGGCACCATGGCCCAGCCCCCTGCCAAGGCACCCCACACTGTGGGCACCCCACTGCCCCCCGCCTCCCTTGCGCCAGGGCCAGCTGCAGCCAGCACATGGTCACCGCTGTCACCACTGTCACCGCTGTCACCACTGTCACCACTGTCACCACTGTCACCGCTGTCACCGCTGTCACCACTGTCACCACCGGGGTCTGGCTCAGCCCTGCAGCCCCTCACCTTGGCCTCGCGCCAGCGCAGCTTCACCAGGGTGGCCACGGTGTAGTAGAGCAGGAGCAGGATGCCAGGGCTGGTGTAGACGAACCAGGGGTAGCTGCTGTTGAGCTCCAGGGTGTTGGGCTGGGAGCAGTTGTAGTACAGGATGATGTCCTTGAAGCCAAACACCCTGTGGGGACACAGGAGGTGGCATCAGCCCCCATCAGCCAGGACCAGGAGCCAGGGTGCCATCGCTGTGCTGGCACCAGAGGGGTGCTCTGGCTGCTCTCCCCAGGGTGGGACCCCGGGCACAGCTCCCTGCCCAGGGACTCACCGTGCCCAGATGGTGGGGGGTGGGAAGATCCCCTGGACGAAGGGGGTCTGGTAGGCATAGAGGCACAGCAGGTGGCAGGCGCTGTAGATGCCCACGAGGATGCAGAAGACGTTGAAGACCTGGTGGCTGGTGGGGAGGTGACAGGCCCACCACGTGCACAGCCCCATGAAGAGCAGGAAGTAGACGCTGGAGGAGGCGGAGGGCAGGGTGATCCCTGGGGGGGAGCAGCGCCCCACGGGCGGTCAGTGCACAGCCCGGCTGCCCCCCGCACCGAGGGGCATCATCCCCCTGGGCTGAGAGCACCCCACTGGGCCCAGCATTCCTCCTCAGGTCACGCATCCTTCCCCTTGCACCGAGTTTTCCACCTCGGATCAAACGTCTCCTTCCTCTTGGTCCAAGCTTTTCCCCTTTGGGCTCTAAACCCATCCTCGGACCACGCATGGCTCCTGCCTGGAATCAGCATCCTCCCTCCTTGGACGGAGCATCCCCTCCCACCCCAGCCCAGGCACTTTTTCCTGCACAGAGCAAGCCTCCGACGCTCAGAGCGAGCAGCTCTCCCCGGGCTGAGATTCCTCCCTTGGACTGAACATTCTCCCCCTCCTCCTCGGACTGCTTCCCCCTGCACCGAGCATCCCTCCTGCCACGCCCCAAGCACGCTTTCCCTCCAACCGAGCATCACAACCACCCTGCAGTGAGCCCCCCCTGCCAGCAGCACGCCCCCCACGTGCCCCCCAGGCCGTGCCCACCTGCCAGGGCCAGCAGCAGGATGGCCAGGCCCTTGCCAGCCTCCCAGAGCAGGGAGTGAGCCTTGTCCCGCAGGCGGCTCCGCAGCCGCGCGTCCCCGTGCGCCGCGCGCCGCGCCCGCCCCGCGGCCCTCTCCTCCCTCTGCCAGGGGAAAAAACCAAAAAACCGGGGTGCCGTGAGCTCCGTGACCCCATTCCGGGCGGCTCCTGGCCGTGCCTCAGTTTCCCCGCTCTGCGGAGGTGCCAGGCGGGCTCAGTGCCCGGCACCCGGCGGCGTTTGTCTCCTCAGCCGCCTGGCGAGCGCCCGGGCAGGGCGGCTGCTGCTCCTGGCTCGGGCAGGATGGGTTCCCAGCACTCAGCTCTTTGCCAGGCTGCCTCCCATCCCTGCTGCCCCTGCTCCGGGAACAGCTGGGCACCACAGCCGGGCACCACAGCCTGGGGGTGCCACAAGCACGGTGTCCCCGGGAGCTGGTGGCACTGCCAGGTGGGGCTGGCACGGCACAGCACCCAGCCCTGCACCAGCGAGCTCCAGCTGCGGGCCAGCACCCCACAAGTGCCCACCCCACAAGTGCCCACCCCACTGTCCCGGCTGTTTGCCACGATCCCTGTGGCAATGCCAGAGCAAACATGGGCGCTCCTCCATGGCTGAGTCACCCTCAGCAGTGGGACAATGACCAAGCCCTCCAACCTGGCCAGAACTGCCCCAAACTGGCTCCCCAACCACTGGGCACGTCCCCATGCCAAGCCCCAGGCTGTGCCCAGGCAGACAGGCTGGAAGGTCCCGGGGGGGTGTGCATGGTGGGATGCCCCCATGGCAGTGGGGGTGGCTCTCACCCACTCAGAGGACTCCAGGGACTCGGGATTCCCTCTGCAGCTGGCACGGCTGAGGCGGCTGCACAGGCACAGGGACAGGGACGACACCAGCAGGATGCCAACGTCGGGTGCCACCAGCCTCACCGAGTTGGGGATGTCCCTCAAATCCAGCCTGGGGGGGACAGCGGGGCAGGGGAGGGCTCAGGGGTGACCCCCCACCCCCTGCCACTGCCACCCCCCAGCCCCACAGGTCAGGGTGGCCTTACCTGGTGATCCCGATGTGCCGAGCAAGGACCTCCCAGGAGCTGCCTGCGGGGAGGACGGGGGCACTGAGCGGGGCACAGCCCGTGGGGCAGGCACCGAGCACCCCCAGCACGGGCAGAGCACTCCCCTCCATGCCAGGGCAGGATGGGCTCCGCACCCTGCAGACACCCGGGTGGCACGGGATGTCCCCCGAGGTGGCACAGGATGGGTCCCACACGTCACCAGCTTGAGGCTGCAGCCCCAGGGCAGCACAGGGAGCGGGGCTGTGGGTGGGTGGGTGGGTGGGTGAGGGTGGGCAGGGGCACCCCCTACTCACAGTTGGGCTCCAGCAGCTGGTCCAGGAAGGGCAGCGTGTAGAGGCATATCTGGAAAACCAGCTGGGCGAGGAGGAAGAGGATGCTGGTGCCCAGCAGAGCTTTGATGATGCGGCTGGTGTGACCTGCAGGACACGGGCAAAGCTGCCACCCACCAGCCAGGGACACCAGAAACCCCAGCAGGGACACCCGGGAAGGGCTGGGAAGGGAGCACTGTGCCCACAGATTCCAGGGCTCTGCCCCAGGGTCAGGATCCCACCAGGCCTTCAGCAAAGCCCGAGGACACCCCAAGAGCCAAAGCCCAGGACCACCCTGCGTGTCCCTGCAGCCCCAGCTGGCACCTCCCTGGCCCTGCTGGCCTGGGACCACCCCGGGGTGCAGTCAGCATCCCCATCCCTGCTGGAACACCCATGGGAGGGCTTCAGGGGTCTCATCCCTGCTGGAACACCCATGGGAGGGCTCCAGGGGGTGCCAGGGGTCCATCCCTGCTGGAACACCCGTGGGAGGGCTCCAGGGGTCCCATCCCTGCTGGAACACCCGTGGGAGGGCTCCAGGGGTCCCATCCCTGCTGGAACACCCGTGGGAGGGCTCCAGGGGTCCCATCCCTGCTGGAACACCCCTGGGAGAGCTCCAGGGGTCCCATCCCTGCTGGAACACCCGTGGGAGGGCTCCAGGGGTCCCCCCCCACTCCACACCCCGTCAGCCCTTCCAGCAGCTGCAGCCGTGCCCCCATCCCACCCGGCTCCCCGGGCCCTGTGCCCGTTTTCCTGGCCGGGGGATGGAGTGGGCAGCGAGCCCACCACAGCTGCGAGCTGGCCTGGGGGCGGCCCCGGGCCAGCAGCTTTCCCTCCCCTTGTTTTTTCCTGTAAATCCAGGCAGAGGCTCGGCAGTGCCGGGATCCGGGGCCGTGCCGGGCTCCGGGGCCGTGCGAGCCCATGAAATATTCAGAGGGGAAAGCTTTTAGCCGTGGCCGTGCCAGGCGCTGGGGTGGGCTCCGAGCCGGGCACAGGGGGGCTCCGGGCGCCGTGGGTGACCCCGAGGCCACCGTGATGCCCGGGCAGGGCGGAGGGGCTGCTGTGGTGTGCCCACACGCCCCAGCCCCGAGGTTTTTGGTTAACAGGGCTCCAACCCGGCCGCTGTGGACCACGAGGGCTATTAATAGCCCCGCTGGGCTATAATTAACAGAGAGAGGCTCCACACGGAGCCACGCTGCCCAGGCGGGTGAAACCGCAGCCAAGGTGCCCCCTGGGAGGGGGGTGGCAGCTGCCCTGCTGCCCACCCACCCCCCGTCCCAGCCCTGCTCCCCCAGGTGAGCCCCTTACCCCCTTACCTGTGCGGAAGCGTGGGGAGGGCCCTGGGAACCAGGGCAGCAGCAGCAGGAAGAGCAGGTACACCAGGGACAGGGCGTTGTAGCGGAAAAGGCAGGCTGGGGACAGAGGGACAGCGTCAGTGACAGGCACGTGGCACGGGGGGGGGGTCACAGCTGCACCCCACCCCGCCACGGGGGTCCCCAAAAGAGAGGCGGCCCGAAATGCCCGGCGGCGGCGCTGGGTGATGCCAGGGGAGGCAAGGGGGGCAAAGCACAAAAAAGCGACACGGGCAGGACGCCAGGCTGTGCCACTCCTGGGGACCCACATGGGTGGCAAGGAGAAGAGGGGACACCGGAGGTCCCAGACACACGGGGGGACGGGGGGAGAAGAGCCATGAGAAAATCCTGCTGCGTTTCCACACCACTGCCACCGAACCATCGCAGGCACCCCACGGCCGGGCTGGCACCCCTGGCACAGCTGGCACAGCCTCTGCCCCCAGCCCTGCTCTGGCTGTGCCACCAGCTCCGCACCTTCCCCCTCACTTATTTTTAGACCTAAATTACAGCTTGTTTGGAGGCACAGAACCACGGAACTGCCGGAGGAGCCGGGCCGAGGCAGCGCCCTGCGGGGACAGACATGGGGACAGGCGTGGGGACAGGGACGTGGAGACTGATGGGACAGGGACATGGGGACAGGCGTGGGGACAGACGGGACAGGGACGTGGGGACAGACATGGGGACAGGCATGGGGACAGGGATGTGGGGACAGGCATGGGGACAGATGTGGGGACAGGGACGTGGCGGGGCACCTGTCACCCTGGCTGGGGACTCGGTGTTCCTGTCACCACGCTGACAGTGACAGACACCGGCACATGCACCGGCAGGGGCTGGGAGCACCCACGGGGCAGCAGCACCGGGGCAGCGCCCGGCTGGGGACGGGGCACCGAGCTTGTCACCGTGCCCTGCTCCAGGCAGTGCCAGAGGGACACGTGCCACCAGCACGGTCCCAGGGGACAGCCCAGGGAGGGGACAGCCACCGTCGGTGACCCTGGCTGTCCCTGTGCCAGGCAGCTGCTCCCCTTGGCACCCCACGGGGGAATGGGTGACACGGGTGGGGGCTCAGCCCTGACCCCGTGGGACCGGGGGGGACCCGGCGGGGCGCCAGGGACACGCTGGGCTCTGCAGCCCGGCACGGCCCTTCCTGTGTTTACCGGGCTCCAATGCGACAGCGCATCCTGGGGACAGGGACAGCGCCGGGGACAGCGGGACACCCCCGGGGGGAGCGCCCAGCAACACGGCACACGGCCCCCGGCTAAAAGCAGCGCCGGCCCGCAGAGGGGTCCCCGGGTCCCCCAAGCTGCGGGGCGCAGCCCGGCCCCGAGCAGGGCTGGGGGGCACCGGGAGCGTCCCCAGCCGCCGCCTCCCCGGGACGCGTCGCCTCCCGCCGCTGCCGAGGGCTCGCGGCTCTTTCGGCACGGCATGATCTCATGGAGCAAATATTCCAGGCGAGAGGAGCCTTCCCGGCACGGGGGCGAGACGCTGCTCGGCTTCCGTGGGAGCCGGGCACGGCCCCTTGGCCGCTGGCACCCACCCGTGCCAGGGCTGCCAGCGCCCACCCGCCCCAGGGTGACCCAGTCCCAGCCCCGGCCGCGTCCTGGGCGCTGCTGGCACGGCTGGGAATCCCGAGGGGAACACAGATTATTGCTGGGCATTGGGGTACCCGCACGCTGACCCCATTATTTGGTGCCACCGGCACCCCCAGGCCCCTCTGGCTGGCAGCCCACCCTGCACCCCTCACCAGGAAACCTCCCAAAAATGCTCCATGGCTCCAACCAGGATGGGAAATGGGGGGAAGGAGGTGGTGGCAGGTGACGGGCTGGTTTGGGGGCACCCTCGCCGCCCAGCCTGGCACCCCCAGCGCAGCGGGGCGCGCCGTGCCCGCGGTGCCCGCGGTGCCCGCGGTGCGTGGGTGCTCCGCGGAGGGAGGGAACCGGTTCCCCGCAGTGCTGACAGCGGGGAAAGCGCCGGCACGGGGAGAAAAACCAGTTTGGCCTGTGGGGAGAGCAAACCCGCCCTCCACAGCGGCTGCGGGGGGGTGCAGCCACCGCCCCCTCCCCACCACCCCCCGGCTGAGCGCTCACCTTGGCCCCTAAGGTGGCACCCCAAATTCCTGCCTGCCCGTGACCCCGGAGCAGCTCCCACGCTGCGGGGAGCTCCCCAGCACCGGCAGCACGTGAAATATTAACGACGTTAATGAGCCGCGAGGAGGATAATTACAGCACCGGGGAGCTGGGCGGGATGTGCCAGTCCACGCCAGCCCGAATTGAATTTCCCCGTGGGAGGGGATTGGGGTCACTGGGCACCCCTGGCAAAGTGGGGGCAGCCAGGAGGAGTGGGCACCGGACCTGGGAGGAGGGTTGGGGTCTGGCACAGCCCCCTCCCTGCACACCAGGCACCATTCCATGCCCAGCCAGCTTCCAGCACGGATCCGTCCCAGCTGGTCGGGAAGAGGGGGGTCCCCAGAGCATTGGGGGAGCCCCACACACCAGCCCCGCGCCCACAGCGCAGGACCTGCAGCACTCAGGGTTAATTAGCAGAGCTCCTTAATTCCCTGCCCTGCTCCCTCACACGGGCCCGTTACCTGCTGCCGGGGCCAGGCAGCTCTGCCAAGTCGGTGCCAAGGTCACCAGCCCCTGACAGGGTCCCCAAGGTGTCACTTTGCTCCCAGGACTCGACTCTGCACCCGCTGGCTGCGATCCAGAGGCAGGGTGAAGAACCCAGAGGCCTCATCCCAAAATCCCACCAGTGTGGCTCTTCCTATCCCAAAATCCCACTAGCCCCAAAGCAACAAGCCCTCGGGCAAGCAGAGCTGGCCACGGGCACGTTCCCAGTGCCAGCCCCAGCCCCTCTCTCCAGGAAAGAGCAGCCCCACGGGTTCACCCACCGTATCCTGTTTTTGTGGAAAGTCGATCCCAGCTCTGACCCTGCTCCTGGGAATGCCACAGGAGATGCCCCAGGAGGGCGCTGGGCCGGGTGCCAGCGTGTGCCACGGCTGCCAGCCCAGCAAAGCCCAGCCTCAGCCAGGAGCTCGTGCCACGGGACAGGGGACAAGTGTCAGGGACACCCCCCTTCCCTGGCACACGCCAGGAGGGCCCAGCCCGTGCCAAGGAGCTGCAGGCTCAGCACTGGGACACACCTGGACTGGCATTCCCAGAGCCACCAACCCTCCCAGCGGAGCCGTGGCAGTGCCAGGCGGTGCCCAAACCCCGCTGTCCTCACCCAAAGGGCACCCGCTGCACCCCTGGGGACCCCCCCACGGTGTCCCCCACCTCACCGGGGCTGTGGGGGCTCAGTCCTGGCAGCCGGGGCTGCGTCTCCATCCCATCCTGGCACCCCATGCCCTCCCCTCCCGCTGCACCCGGGAGGAAGCAGCAGTTATTGCTCTTGGAGACAGCGGTGGCTTTGCTGCTTTTATATTATTTTTAATAGTTTTTTTTATATATAGGGTTGGTTTTTTTTTTTTTCCTCCTCTATTTTATTTCCCTGGGTTTTATAAAAAGCACCTGACAACAGCAGGCAGCTGCAGCAGCCCACGCTGCACCCAGCTGGGCTCCGGCCCTGCGGCACCTGGCACCCCCAGGGACCCCCCCAGCACCCTGGCCGGGCAGGGGGGCTGTGTCCCCGCACCAGGGGGTTCGGGGGGCCCCGCAGCCCCAGAGAGGGGGTGCCACCCTTCCCCATCACCCCTGCCCACGGAGCCACGGATCCGCGTGGCCACGACCGGCGCTGGGGGTGCCCGGTCCCCCCTCGTGGGGGCTGTGCTGTGCCCCCCACAGCACCCCGCAATCCCAGCAGGAAGGACGGAGCCGAGGTGGGCACACAGCCCAGGGACCCCCCCCGGGGCTGTGCCAGCCGTGGGGCTGCCCCGGGCCACGGGGCCCGAGCCCGGCGCCGCCACTCGCCCCGAGCTGGCCGGGAGCCGCGAGCAAACATCCTCCGGACGTTCGGGGAGAGCCGAACCGGCGGGGAAGGAAGGGCCGCAGGCGGGTCAAACCCTGCCCCGTGCCGCGGGGCAAACCCTCCCGCCCAGCTGCAGGGGGACGAGCCACACCCTCCGTGCCTCAGTTTCCCCCGGCTGCTCCTGCGAGACCCCTGGGCGCTGCTGAGTCACCCCCCCACCTCCCGCCAATCAACCGGAGCAGGACGGACTCCCCGCCCAAGCCGGGCCCCAAATTTAAACGAGCCACCGACAAGCCCAGCGTGGGGAGGGGGGGACAGCGAGGCCACCGGTGTCCCCAACCGCGGGGGACCGGCGTCCCGGCATATCCCGTGGCGGAGCAAGGGGGCAGAGCCAAGCAGGGCGGCAGGATTTGGGGCCGAAGCAGGAGGATTCGGGGCAGGAGGGCCCCGCGGGAGGCTGGCCCGGAGGCCACGTGTCGCCGCGGGCACCCATGGGCGCTGCCGGCAGCTCCGCGCCCCGGGCCCGCCGCTGCCCCGGGCCGGGCAGCGCAGCCGCCGCTCCCCGCTCGGGGCCGGGTCGTGATCAACCTCCTGACATCCTGCGCGATGCTCTGACTCACTGCCCCGGCGAAGAGAAGGAAAAGCAGCTTTTTCTAGAGGCACCGACTTCCTCCGCCAGCGAGGCTCTGCCCGCTGCCAGCACCCCGAAACCCAACCCCGCTCCCCAAAACACAGCCGGGAACGGGGCTGCTCGGCTGGACCAGCCTCCCTCGGCCGGGAGCGTGTCCCTCTCTCTCTCTCCAGGTGACAGTCTCCCAAAAGTCCTTCTAGGGGCACCCCAAAAGCCATGCCAGAGCGTCCCGGGGCTCAAACCCCCAGCACGGCTGCTGCGAGCCCGGGGGCAAACAGCCCCGGCACAAGGAGCCCCTTGAAGGATCCTCGCCATAAAGAGCTTTTTCCTTCGCGTTTACGCAAACGCAGCGTCCCCGAAGAGGCTCCGGAGCAGGCGGGCTTCAAAGAGCCGATTCTTGTCCTGCGCGTCCCGGGACACGGGGATTTTCCAGGCCGATGGCCAGCCGGTTGCCTCGGTGGGTGGCACATCTGCCATCGAAGACCGACAGCGCTGGAAACGGGCTGGTGGCAGCCTGGGGACCGCAGAGCCACAGGGGCCGGGGTGGGCACTCTGCATCCCCGGGCACGGCGACAGGACGGGTGCCAGCTGCCGCCCGGGCATCGCCCACCCCGGCCCGGGCAACCGTGGCGACAGGGCTGTGACCCAGCTGGGTCACCTGCAGCCCGCACAGCGGGGACACGCACACGCCCCGTCCCGCCCGGAGAAAGTGGCGGCGCTCCCCGCGAGTGGGCTCGGCCACGGGCGGAGCCGGCGGCATCTCGGGACCGCAGCACCGACCCCCCCCCGGGATGCCAGCCCCGCTTCCTGGCGCAGGGACCCGCTCGCCCCGCGGCTTCCCGGCGCTTCCCGGCGCTTCCCGGCGCTTCCCGGGCCCCACGTGCCGGGGTAACCCCGCGCCCCGCAGCCACCGGGACACCCCCGGGGCGGGCACCGCACCGGGGTCACCTTTAGGGGGGATCCCCGCACTCACCGGCGAGCAGGGCGAGCGGCAGCAGCAGCCAGTAGAGCCCCGCGCAGAGCCCCCGCCGGTTCATCCCGCCCGGGGGGGCCCGGCCCGAGCCGCTCCGAGCCGTTCCGCCCCGCCGGGGCTGGGCTGGGCTGGGCTGGGCAGGCCCCGGTGCCGACGCCGCTGCCCGGTGCCGCGGCGCTCCCGAGGCGCTGCCCCCGCCCCGCGCCCGCCGCTTTATAAAGCGGCACCGCCCGCCCCCCGCCCGCGGGGCCGGCGCGGCCCCAGCGCCGCCCGCCGGCACCGGCACCGGCACCGCCGCGAGCTGGCCGGGCTCACACGGGCCCCCGCAGCCCCCCGGTCAGGGGGAAAAAATATATCGACTCAAAAGGAAAAGAAAAAAGGGGGAAAAAATGAAAGAAATATCAGCAGATGTGTCTCGTGTTTATTTCGTCCGAAAATGAAGTGAAAGGCAGAGTTAGTTTTTGTTGGGTGTTTGTTGTTGATAGCAGGGTTGAGAGGCGCTGCGAAGAATGGGGAGCTGGGAGGGCTCCCCCAGGAGATGATGGGCAGCCCTGGGGCTGGGTGCTGTGTCCCTGGCACTGGGGAACCATCCCGTGGTCCTGGAGCTGGGTGCTGTGTCCCTAGCACCGGGGAACCATCCCGTGTTCCTGGAGCTGGGTGCTGTGTCCCTGGCACTGGGGAACCATCCCGTGATCCTGGAGCTGGGTGCTGTGTCCCTGGCACCATGGAACCATCCCGTGGTCCTGGAGCTGGGTGCTGTGTCCCTGGCACCATGGAACCATCCCGTGGTCCTGGAGCTGGGTGCTGTGTCCCTGTCAGAGCTGGGAACCATCCCGTGTTCCTGGAGCTGGGTGCTGTGTCCCTGGCACCAGGGAACCATCCCGTG